CTCTATGTGTAAAAACCTGAAAGTTTCTTAGTTTTGTCTAGCTGTTATCCAGGCTCCTAATTTAAATAAATATTTTGTAGTTTGAGTAGTTTATTGTTCCTGTGGCATGTTTTTTAGGAAATGGTATTATCTATCCACTTCATAGAGTTGTTCTTTTTTCCAAACAAACTTTTATGTTTACACTTAAATCCTCCCTCTTTTGACCCCCCTCTGCATGGTGTTATTAGAAACTACACCACTTTCTATGTCAGGAAAGTAATTAAAGTTAATGTACATTCACTAAATCCATCTTAAAAACTCTGAAGTATTCAGAGATTAACAATAGTAACTCACATGGACAATTTCATCTTTATACCTGCTCTCTCACTGACGTTTAGGAGAGCAGAGATCTCCATTTATATACAAAAATTTATATATATGTTTATGATGCGCATATACATACATTTATACACAGATATTCATACATATGTAAAAATGAATTTAGTATTTCAAATCCAGAAAGAAGATTGAAGGGGAGAAAAGCTCCTGTCAAGTGTCTGAGTGGGCTTCTTTGGATTAAGGTAACAGGCAAAAATGAGCCACAATTAGAGACAAAGAAAAATGGAAATAATGAGGTCAAACTCTCCCTATAAATCTGCAGGTCTTTCTACATATACCCCTGAAGAAATGTAACATGAAAATAACATGAAGAAAGAAATTATTAAGTTTTTCTATCATGTAAGCTTGTGTGGCCTTAAGGGGTTTTTTTGTTTATTTAATTTCAGTAGCCTAATTGTCCTCTTTTTTTTCATGAGCTAATGCAAGAGGGACATTAGCCTGTGCAGTTAAAAAAAAAAAGTGCATATAATTCCAGTGTGCACAAACTGAATACAAAGAGCATAGATAGAAAAGCACCTCTGTCATCAGGGACATAAAGATTCAGAAACACACTATAATGCTGAATAAACAAGGCCAGAGGTTTCACATCTAGTCCAGCTCTTTCCAAAAGCTGTTGCTTTTCAAAGATAGAAAAGAAAGCTAATCTGTGGCCATCATCACAAGTTCTGCTGCAGTTAATGAGTTTAAATTAGATTTAAAAACAAGTCTGGTGGCCATACTCTTTGCTCTCACTCTATTTTATTATAACTACTGTGTTTAAATGATAGAAAACAATTAATGTTTTTCTTTTAATTTGCAAACACTGTTTCTCAGAATATACTTTAGGCCTATTTTTGACATGTAATATGAAAATCAGAATTTACCATTCCCTGTATACCAGAATTGCTATAAAATAGATACACTATGATGTGTTGGCCCTATTTTTCATTTGGGATGTGCAGACAAGGATCAATGAGCTGTAGCAGTCAGATATAGCAAAGTTTATACTTTGTTTCTTCTATTTACTTTGTGCACCTTAAAGATGGACTGAGATGTGATTAACAGATATTAATAACCCCCTGTACTCTCTTATCTTCTCCTTAAAGGGTTAATTTCGCTGTATAGACTTTTGTTTCATAGTATAACTGAAAGCAAAAACCTCTCTTTATGTTAGAAGAGGTCCTTTGAAGAACTATATGGGGAACATCCTTACCTGTGTCAAATTTACCAAGTTTATCTGTCTTGGGAGCTCTTTCACCTTCCTTTGTGGAACATTCAGTCCTGAGTGCTCCTCATAAAGGAATAAAATGTCTCCTGCTTTCTGTATGGCTCTGTATTGGCTTGCTTGTTGTACTTATAGAGGCAATTACTTGAGATTTGTTTGTTACACTTTAACTAATTTATAACTGTAAGTTTTGTGTGATGGGTCCAGTAATAGCAACCTTATAGTGTGTTTTGATGCTGTCCTTAAAGTGTGATATAGGATAGGTATGTACCTGTAATAAACAAATTGGATTTTATTCTCGAATTCCTCAAATTATGGGATTCCTGATGCCCAGTAAAAACCAAGCTTGTTTTCAATGTGTGAAACAGGTTTGTGGAGTAGTTTCTTACTTGCTTATCTGAAATTCTCACTGGATTCTACAGGGAATATCTTCAGGATATTATACTACACATAGACTAGATTTAAAGCTTAGAGAGAAGCCTTAATTAGTTTTAAGCTCCCACATGACTTTATTGAAGGATTAGAGGTCTGAGTGCTCCTGTATTTTTTTGATAACTCTTATTTACATCAGCATGGTGCTCACACAGAGCCACAGGCACAGCTTAGAAGACCCAGATAAGAAGTTGCCAGGAACTCTTCCAGCATGTGGGCTCTTTTTATGCTCAGTAATCTTTCACCAGCTTTTTACACATGCATCTTTTGCACATTTCTTCCCTCACACTGATAACCCTCTCCCCGACATTTTTTCATTTTCCCTTCTCTTTCCTTTTTATTTCTAAAAATATTTCTTTTCCTGTTCTCCTTGCATTATTTTCTCATCTCAGGAGAACAAAGAAACAAGTTGCTTCCTCACCTGGTTCCTCTTTGTCATCTGTTTTTATTGGGTCCCCATAAGAAGAAGAAAGGGATCTGCAGGTTTGGTAATTGCTGTCCATTGGAACTAGTAAAGCACGGTCTGCTGACAACTGGAGTAAGAGTCAGCCTGGAGAGGAAACAAGCTCTAGTGGTTGATAACAGCGTGGAAGCTATTGCTTTCTGTTTGCACATTTTAAATAAACTGCTCTTCACTGTGGCCAGGGATTCATATCCCCTTGCTAAATTCCAGACGGAGGATACATTCCTTCTTTCCAGAGCAGACTCTAAGCCAGAAATTATTTTTGGGTATCTGCATTTCTGAATGCTTCACATAAGATGTCTTAAGGCAAGAATTGATCTTCAGAAGCTATTGCTCAGGTCACTGAACCGCTGGTCCTGGCACACTGGTTGTAGTAGTGCATCCCAAATTTGAAGTGCTAACACATCACTGATCATTTTTGCACATGAAAAAATAAAGCCTGCAGCTTGCTAGCAGTTACTTCTGAGGCAAATAAACAGAGAAGGATCTTAATTGTATTTGTGGTTCCTTGTAGGTAATTTACCTTTTGCCCCTGCTGAGAGGAGTCACATGCAAACCTTTTCTAGCCCTTTTTTTAGATAGCTGTTTATTCTCCACACAGAAAACTAAATTAGCTGTACATACGGTGCAGATTTCTACATATAAATTCAGTCATATCCTTGTGTTCTGATTTTCTGTTGGAGCTGACCTCTCTTTTTCCCAAGCCATTCTTGGGATTCAGCCTCCTGCACAGAGCTCATCTGAACTTTTTGTTTTCCAGGAACCACCAGAACATTCCCTAACTCAGGATGATCATGCCACAGGGCGAGATGACCCCAAGGCTTCACCATCTGATAAAAATCTGGCCTCCAATGAAAATATGATTGCAGGACAGCAACAGAAGTTTTCTGAGAGTTCAGAAGAGTTCAATAGTTTTATATATTAGAATGCTACAACTTCTTAAAATAATTTTATACCAAATCTGGATTTTCTGTATACTTATCTTTTTCTTCAAGATTTCACACTCAGGGCAGTGGGAAACCAACACTGTCCCTTGAAGTTTGGCTTTTTATTGCTCTGTGATACAACAACTATTTCTAGGTTTGCTGAGAACATACACAAAAAAAGACCAAGATTTTATGACCTTTTTGTAGAACTGTGAAATAAATGAAAGTGTTGTGGGCTTTTTTTATGGCTGCCACTGTAATACAATACTTGTTTACAAAACAAAAAGCATTTTATTTCATTTAATTTCATTCTCCACCATGTGGATTCAATTAGCAGTTAAATAGTACATACAGGGATGAATCAGCTGTGGAATTTGAGATAAATGTCAGTTGGAGTTTGTAATGTATTATGTGGGCTTAGCTCTGCCTAATTTCATTAGGAACAATAGGGTGGAAAACCTTATCCTAAATTCTAAATAAATACATAAATAAATATACAAACAAAACTATGTCTATTTTCATATAGTCACCCCAAAACCATTTGTGGAAACATGTCTATTAATGTTCTTTGAAAAGAGAAATCCAACATAGGTATGAAAGTGACATTTCTTTTGTCAGATAACAGGAATAATACCATCAGAGTGTTGGCATCTGAACTCCCCATGGGTCCTGCAGGAACTGACAGGGGCTAGTAATAGCTAGTGCTGATCCTAACTCCTTATGCCATGTTTCTTTCTTCTTGCTCTGACCTTTCCAGTGCATCAGCTTTTCATCTCTCCAGTCTCAAGTAACAAAGGATTGACTGGAGGGTCACTTGAATCCTAAATAACAACCCTCAAAACAAAAATATGAAGGGCAAATATTTGCTACTCTTTATTCACTTTATGAATACTGCATACATGGTATAAAAAACCCCTCCAAATGCTTCCAATATCAGTCTCTAATTCTTAGGGCCCTGCTGGGGAGTACCAGAAAGGGTGGGGGTTTCTGTTGATTTTTTTTAAAGGATCTAGCAATATAGTAGCCCATGTTGCATATCTTCCTTGCTTCCAAATAAAGAAGCATAGATTCTATGCTTCTTTATCTATAGATAAAGAATCTATGAATCTTTATCTACAGATAAAGATTCTCATATTCCTCATATCCTCATTAAGAAAAAAAAAAAGGCAAGTGAAGGAACAAGTGCCTGTTCTTAACATTTAGTGCTCAGTTCCACAACAAGTTTATATAGACAGAGCTTCATTTCTGAGATCACATGAATGAAGCTCACCATCAGAGACTTCATGGGAAATACAATTGAATAGCTGCTGTGAAAACGAGAAAACTGTTTACTTTGTACAATGAACAAAGGCAAAGTTGTTCTACCAGTTGCACAGGCAATGAAGCATTTGCAGTTTGAATTTATATCTACAGAATCCTTTGACTTGGAGAACTTTTTGCTGTGTTACAAAACCAACAGGAGTTGCAAGATATTCCACACGTTTCAAATCTGGTTCTTTTTTAGTACAGAACCATGAATTCAGAAATCTGGGTTTTACACTGCTGCTAAAAGACAAAAAAGCTTTGTGGGTTCTGGCTATGACACAGGTTTTTTTTGCAGTTTTCCAGTGTATACCTACACCTTCTTGTTTGATGCTTTGCAGCTTTGCTGCTTTTGAGTGTCTTAACTGTATGACTTAACTATCTTGCATTCATTTTAATTAATATAATGGTCTGCCTTTATCCTTATTTATTGAGATGCCTTTTAAAATAATAATTAAAATGTAATAATAATGAAAAATGAAAGTTTTAAAATTTACTTAAGTATTATAGTAATACTGTTTTCCATCCTATGAACTGATTTTTTTATCCACAGTAGGAGCAGTTGGTGCATTACTTACTGTTGCACCACCTCTGTGAGACTCACTGAAGAGGCAGTTCAGAGGAGACTGTTCCATACATGACTATTAAAAGGAGCTCACCTGAAGAAGTTATTCTTCTATTTTGATTACATTGCTCTGCTGTGCTGTAAGAAGAAACTAGTGAAAAACAGAGCTGGAGAGTAAGACAGGTCTGACTGACAAACAAGGAGGTGTAAGTATATAGGCACCAGTGGCCTTGGCCATTTGAGACAGGTGAGCTGATGATCCACGACCCACCTCATCCGGATTTGTCGCTGAGAAATTGGTTAAATTTACCTGCAGTGGGCTATTCTGAAACATAGATACCCTATGGGATCATGAAAAAATAATACAATCAGGATGGGATATTCAGATTACTGAAAAGCAAGTCTGACATTTAGAGTATTCAAACTCCATTTACTTCCATTTTCTTAGCAATCTGGGAAAATTCTGCTGTGAAAAAGAGTGCAACTAGGTCAGTTCAGTTGATGGTACACAAAATATGAAATTAAACTCCAATGCTGCAGTGACTGATAGCAATAATTTAAACTGCTGTTTTCAAATGAAAGGAGGAACTGACCATTGCTTTGTTCATTTCTTAGTATTTTTCCTATCATTTCAATTACTCTACCTGATAATGCAGTGTTTTATTACGACTTTTGCACCTGGAAATCACATACATTTTGAAGAACTGCAAAACAAAAGACAACCACAAACACTGAGAAAGTTGTTTGTTTTAAGGTACAGGGTTCCAACTTCACTAAAAGGAAAGACTACTTTAATTCCATGTGTACCGAGACCTTGTCTCCAACTACACTTAACAAATACACCTTAATAAATTTAAAGAACCAAACATAAGGAGAAGCTAATCTTACAATGGAGACCAGTTCTCTACTACTGAAATTTGCATTTAACTAATTTGTTTAAAAAAAAAGAAATGGTCCACATACAAAGGAAAATGGGTAAAAGTAAGTCTGAGCAAGCTGAGCAAACACTGTCCTTCTTGTTCAGTTCCAGTTGTAGTGGTCTTGTGGCAGTAAATCATAATGTGATTTCTCTTCTTCAGGTCCACAGTCTAGTGGCAGACCATAATTGTAATCAACTGTTACAACTGGTAATCTTTTTCTCTGTTCCATCTTTCTGGGAGTTTCACCTTGAAAAGGTTTTCTTTCATAGTTTATTGAACTATCTTCTTGGTGTACAGATGAAGATGAGTGCATTGTTTGTGAAGAGTATGGTGCAAATCTATTTTTTCCTCTACTAATTTCCTCTGAGGGATGCATTCTCCTATTGTCTTCAGGACAGTTTGGTCGATTACTGCAAGAAGAACAAATGTGAACAGTGTAATTCTTAGAAATAAAACAGTTGATTTATTGTTATTGGCCACCACTAGAAACTAAACATGTAATGTTGAAAGAACAATTCAAACTCTCATTCTTGTTTTTACCCCCTAAAATTAAAATCCTATGGATGTTGCAAACTTGTTTATAATAATTTTTCAATTCTAGTGACTCAAATTACAGCCCTTTATAGTAAGTAATTCTACTAGTAGGTGTTTTGTTTCAAGGGCTGTTTCTAATTAAAATTACCTGTTTACTGAGGGTATTTTTACCTCAGGGCCATTTTTGTTCCTAAGCCCATGTTTTCATTTTTGTGAAAAATATGTAATAACAGCTCTCTAGTACATAGTCTCAACAGGCAATAATATGCCTAAGATTTTAATTATTGATTCTTCTGCAATATAATACTCACTCTGCTACAAAATACATGTGGGAGGATCTAAAAATGCATATACAAAATATATTTTTTTGTTTTAAATTCTCTTGACTCTCAAGTACCTTCCTTATTCTGTAAAATAAGTGGTGTATAAAGCAAATTCAAAACAATCTTTATAATTTTAAAATTTTCTCCCTCACTGAACCATAAATTCAACTTAGACTGGAAAGGATCTCTAGAAGAACCTTGGGTCACCTCAAAGCAGGTCTCATTAGATGAGTTTGTGCAGGGGGTTGTCCATTCTTACTATCTTAAAGGATGTGGGTTTCACAGCTGCACTGGGCAACCTGTTTCAGTGTCTGACCACCCCTCACAGTAAAACTCATTAGCTTGTTGCAAGCAGCAGTTAAGATTTAAATATAGCATCTATAGTTTGCTTTTTTGCTTACTAATACTGGCTTTTCATATTCTGTTGTGCATTAGCTTGAATTGTGCTTATCATGGGATTTGCACAATAATCCCTCTCAAAACTCAGTATCAGTGACCCACAAATTAGTCACGTTATCTGCTCAGTGTTCAGATTCAATGGCTTAAACTGCATTTAAGCAAATGTATTAACATACAAATTACCTTCAAAGCATAAAAATCTATTTTCTAGCTGGGAAACTACAATAGAAAGATAAGTCAGAAAACAATGTAGAATATCTGATATTTACCTGTAATTTCTGTTGAAGTCATCATTATCTGACCCATAATCTCTGTGAAGTGAAGGAGATGAGGAGAAATGAGGTTCTGCTACATTTTCATGGGAAGAAAATGATTGACTTCTGCAAATAATAAAAAGAACTGCATGTTAGGAAGACTGCAAACGATTGTTAAGATTTTGAAATTAAATTAAATAAAGATATTTTTACTTTTAATAAAATTGACTTAAAATAAAAACTATAATGATTGTATTAATTTAACACCTTAAAATGGTATGCTTCATTGTAATGACATCCTCTGTTTTAGCTGTACAATGGAAGAAATTAAATCAAATTTTACTAGTCCAACAAATATCTGAAATACATTCTGAAATATTAAAAATAGTTTGAAATATGTCAATACAATAGGTTTACTAGTAAGTGATAGACGTATTTGTAAGAATATGATGCAAGTTCTGAAGCAAAAAGATTTCCAACAAATTATTAAGTCATGGAATACACAAATGCAAGTCAAACTTCCTTGTAGCACTGCTGTTTATCTCTGTTTAGCCGAGGGCATAAATAACATTTCTTATTCTATTCTGTTTTGAGGGCTGCTTTTTAAGTATAAGTTTCTATACAAAACAAAGCAGGACAAAGAGTTTTGTTTCAAGCTGACTAAAAAAGTAAAGGAAACACAAACTTCAAAGAAGCAAACCTAATTTAAGAAACACTGGCTTTCAAAGATGCAAGACTCCAGCTTATATCAGACCCTTCCATAAGTCAAAACAAAAAGAGTTAATAAAATTATCATTATATATTATTTTAAAAGGATGATTAAGTGATTTAAAAATAATTTATTTAAAAAAATATTTAATCTGAAATTTAATTTCAAACTGCTGAGGTTTACACTTTTATTCTCTAATTCTGGTTTTAGGATTCTCTAATTCTGGTTTTCAGCTCAAGGATGGCTTTACCTGTCTGAACACCATTCACGTGGCAAGTCATCATGACCTGGATGATCATGAAAAGGTCTTGGCCTTTGTCCGTGTCCTTTATTAACATAATCAAAATCTTTTAACTGAGTCTGTTCCTGCGAGCCATCATAAGGCTGATGGTCATGAAAAGGTCTGCGCCTTTGTCCAGGGCCTTTATTATCATAATCTTTCAGCTGCATCTCTGTTTGTAAGTCATTGTGAGGCTGGTGATCGTTGAAAGGCCTCAACCTCTGCCCACAACCCCTTTTAACAAATTCAAAATCTCCCAACTGCATCTGTGGCTTTAAGTCATCATGTGACTCATAGTCATGGAAAGATCTTAGTCTCTGGCCAGGACCTCTGCTGACAGGATCTAACTCTTTTAACTGCATCTGAGTCTGAAATTCATCACGAGATTGGTGGTCATGGAACAGTTTTCGTCTCCGGCCACGGCCCATGCTACTGAAATCAAAATCCTTTAACTGCCTGTCTTCCTGCAAATCATTGGGAAATGGATGATCAGGAAAAGACCTCTGCCTTTGTCCACGGCCTCTGTTAATGTCCCTCGACTGCCTCTCTGCCTGTAAATCATCACAAAACTGGTGTCCATGAAAAGGTCTCAAACTTTGTCCAGGGCCCTTGTTACTGAAGTCTAGGTCCTTCAGCTGTGTGTCTTCTTGATAATCATCGTAAAATTGGTGATCACTAAAGGGTCTTTGTCTCTGTTCTGGTCCCCGATTGTAGTCCCAGTTTCTCATCTGCACTGATGCTCTTGATTCATCCTGAGTTTGGTGGTCATGAAATGATCTTCGTCTCTGTCCAGGCTCCTTATTAATGAAGTCAAAATCTCTCAACTGTATCTGTCCTTGCAAATCATTGTGAGAGTGGTCGTCATAAATTCTTAATCTTTTCCCAGACCTGTAAAGAAGTTTTTGTCTTAAACAGAACAGTCCTACAAATCATTAATGAAAACAATTCCTTTTTAACCAAGAATTTATATGAAAGACATTGCACATAGTCAGGTATCAAAGCTAATAAGAGTCCAAACTGTAAGTAAGATTATAAAACCTTCAATGTCAGAGCAGAAGCTGCGACAAACATTCAATTGTAATTCTATACTGCTTGTTAAACAGGCAAAACCAGTGATTCAAAATTAATAAAAATAACTGCAGATTATTGTAGAATAATAAAGGACAGGCAAAGTATAACTAAATTTTTGTAAGTGAACTAATTACAGACTTCTAAGAGCATACACTCCCTTTCTTTTGTTTATCTTGCGACTGTTATGTCAAATTCTGTAAATATATTCTACATGAGCAGGCTATATTCATAAAATCTCTTTTGAGTATCTGTAGTTATTCTCAGCAAGAAACAATTATATTCCCCCTTGTGTGTGGGGGGGGGGGGTTCAGTTTTATTTCCATGTTTCAGCCTATTACCCCTGAAAATCTTCATTTGGGAACCGCTCTGCAGGTCCTTCCATTGCATGTGGTGGGGGAATAATATCTTCATCTGCATCCCATACATCCATTCCAAGGTTACTAAGAAGAAAAAAAACATTTCACATAAGCTTCCTTTTTACAAACATACGACTGACATAGTGAAAAAAACACCCACATAAAATTCTTCCGTTCAGAATGACAGAAATTTTATGTTCAGCAAAACTTACAGACATTCACAACTTAGCAAATTTTAATCTTATAAATTTATTTGGGGAAGAGCTGCAGGGAAATCAAAGAGAATACCCGAGCTTCGTAGATTTAGAACAACATCCTAAAGGATGTGAGATAAGCACCACACTTATTAAAAATCTGACATGGGAGCAACTTAATCCCACACAGACTATGAAACAATGATAGGATTAAAACAAAGGGCATTCATGTCAGCTAAGAAGACACAAATCAGTCAGGTATTCATTTTAAAATCAATTTACTGCTATAAGGTATCACTGGCACAAATACCTTGGGAAGATGGAAAGGTCAGCTAAGAGATAAGCATAAAATTCTTAAACATGATACAACTACTATGAATGGAGGAGATGAGAACAATCTTCCACTTTTTCATACTTTTTTATTCGTAAAACTGTTCTTTTTTTTTTTTTTTTTTAAATATCTGGTTCTACAATGCCAAGAACAACAGGCAAATCATAGAGCTTATAAAGACATCTCTGCAATGGCTCCTTTCTGCTTGTAATGAAAGAATACAGACTTAATACACCTGTCACATATGATAAACCCACAGAAATATTCAATAGTAGTTGTCAGATTAAAAACAATCTTTTGAATCTTAGAAATTCAAAAGATGAATAAAGTACACTGCACTTCACATTATTCATATGACAATACACATACAACTACATATATATTTTACAATCTATGTGTAGTTGCATATTAAAGGTTTAAGAGGACTTATGACCAGAAGTGAACTTTTAAAAATACCATGAGACAATCTTAAGCACACCACTAAAAGCATTTACCTTCGCATTGGTTGCGTTCTGAGGTCTGTGAGATACACCAGACCATCCATGCGATGACCTCTGGCATCACCAAAAGCTAAAGGAAAAAAAAAAAAAATCTAATGAAATGTGCTCAAACTGAGAAATGCGAAAGGCAAGTTTCTGTTCACCACAAGATGCTGAATTTGAAACAATTCTAACTTGTATTTAATACTTTAGCAAGCTGGCATCGTTGCAGCATTTTTTTTAAACAACTGAAACTAGTGGTAGCAAACTATGACTGGAAACCCTTTCAAGTGAAAAGAAGAAAAAAGATTTAAAGCAGCTAAAACATACTCCTCCAATGCTGTCAATTTGCTAATGTTCAAGTCTTGCTTGAAGTAGAATCAAGTCAGAAAAAATATTCTATGTAAGCCAGCACATGAAATTACTGAAAAGATATTAAAACAGAATTGTAGTATTTGTGAGTACAATTGTAGTAGTTGAGAAGTACAACCTGACACGTGCCTTAGTTCAAACTATATAAATACCTTGTATTGCTGCCTCTGGATCCCAGCCTTCAACGTCTATGAGGTATCTGAAGAAAAATATGATTATATTATTGTCTCAAAGGGATTACAGAACAATATAAAGATGCTATTTTTTGTGGACAACGATTTCTGTTTTTATACAACCTTACCTACATATAAGGTAGCCAGTCCTATTAATTCCATTAGTGCAGTGAACGCCAATGAGCTTCTCTATCAAAAAGGAAAACAGAGTCTTTAATAGTTAAATACAAAAAACCCCTCTACTTTTCTAGAGAAGTAATGATAAATAATGCTTGCTATTTACAAAATTATACTGTCACGCCTGTAAAACAACAGATACATACAGACTTCATGATGAATCTCTAGCAGCAGTTAGCTCACTATTTCCAAACCTGTGAAGACTGAGATTGACTCTGCAGAATGTAGGAAAAAAAAAAAGAGTGATGACAGGTAAAGCACCTGGCCTCAGCCATAACTGCAGTAACAGGAGAAAAATAAAAAAAATATGGCTCTGAAAGCAAATCTAAACAAGCAAATGTAAAACTGAAGAACTTAATTTATACATAAAGCACCTGGAAGTATGAAATGCCTTGAAGTATGAAATACATGGAGAAAAGGAGAACCAGTAATCTCTAAAGAAATCTTGGGGTTTTTTGAAAAGATTATGCTAATGAGATAAAGGTTAAAAAGTAGAACAACTTACTATTACTAGGGTTTTTCAAATGAGGTATTTCCAAGAGAAATAGGGAAACACTAATATGATCATGCAAGGCACTGGTAAAACCTCATCTAGACTATTTATACTCTTATTCAAATGTAATGAAAAAAATCAAATATGTATAGAAAGGACTATTATGATGGTCACAGAAGGAAGCTTGTCTTATTTAGTCTGTAAAAACAAATCTGAGATACTGAATGTAATAATGGGAATGGAGAACAACGATACTTAAAGGGCAAAGTTGGCTTGAGAATAAATGCATATTAACTGATTGAGAGTTTAGGGTAGATTTCAGAAGAAAACCTTTCGTCAACAGAAGAACAAAGTTTTGACAGAGACAGTACTGACAAATGGTCTTTGAAACAGGGCTTAGATAAATTTTTGAATGAGAAAAAATATAACTGTTTGCCACAAATCAGGACAGTCACATTGCCATATAAGTTTGCTGTAAGTTGATGTCCTCACAATTCAAACATTAAAGAAACCCAACTTCTCAAAATGTCTTTGTAAGAAGAATCCTGAGATATTTTAGGGGTATTCTAAAACAGAGGCCAAATTATGAGGAGTAAGTTACCATAAAAATGAAAGTTCTCCCAACTCAAAAGTTACATAAGTTCTGCCAAAAAGCTCTTACTACCTGTAACTGCAGGGCCATTGTCCAGCAACAAATGAAGAATTGATTCTCTCAATATTAGATTCAAACACAGACTATTCTTTGTCACACAAAAAAAATCACTAGATCAAAACAACGGAAAACTAATAAACACCAAGTAATTTCCTTAAGCCAAAAAAGAGCAAAGGAAGAAGTAACAAACTAACTTTCTGAGCAAGGACAAAGGCTTCTTCTTATACCTTTCAATTTTCCCATTACTTCTAATTCAGGCTTTCATACCTGAAATTTATGCCAGTGCTCTTTCAGAAAGCAGAGTTGACCATTCACAGCAAAACTCCAGTTATGCTTTGCAGCAAACACTGTATATGCACTTGGGCAGTTAATATCTCTACTTTCTCACAGAAAATGCCAAAGTCACCACAGCAAATAGCATGCAAAAGCTTGTAAGAATGATCCACCAATATTGGATAAACACATAGGTAAAATCTGCCTACAAAGAATCACTACCAAAAGAAGTGAGAGTCTAAAAGCTGCAAACACAGTGTGGCAAAATTTTGTTTTCACAAAAAGCAACTTATACAATCTCAGCAAGAACTGCCCTGTTGCATAAGCACTGAAACAGCAGCAGAGCCACACCACACTGTGGAAACATTGACACCGTGTCTGTAATAAGATTTTCAGGAATTGTTCAGATATGAGGGCAATAATGGACTCAAAAATCAAAAAACCACTACATCAGACTAAATGGACTTAAGCTGCTCACACGTGTCAGTGCCCAGAGGCATCAGAGAGACCCGGTGCTATTTAGAACATCCATCAAGGGCTGGCAGCTACAGCACTCAGCTGGAGGGGGACAATTTGGGTCAGACACATGAAGGCCTTGTTGCAGTTACTCTGACACACAACACAAACATAACACTACTTGGAAGGGCATTTGAGTTACTCGTCATGTTTGAAAAGGACTTGTTGTGGTTGCATAAAAGATAGGTAGTGGTTCACATAATGGATCTTATTATGATAATAAAGTGGGAAGTGCTATGGAAAGTCTGAGGTCCCCAGTTTGATAAATTAGTATCGAAATTAGTAAATAATACAGTTAGCACCAAAATAAAATATTGAGGTTTTTTATAGCATAGGATGCTGATACTTACCATTTCCTGCATTTTCCCATAGGAATTTTCTGACCCATTTTTTGAACTGTAGAATAGTAGCATTATCAGGGACTTCAAGTCCAACAGTATAAAGTTTCTTATACTGCACACTTTTAGGTAAATCCTAGCAACAAAAAGGAAAAAAACAATGGTAAACATTATTCAAATCTTGTATGAATGAAAAACCATAAGCAGTATCTAACATAATGCCAATGTAAACCAGTAGTTCAAATCTTGAATAAAAAGTGAAAACAAACTTGACACAATTCTATAGAGATATGGCCTGAGAAACTACCATTGACATTTCTACATTAAAAATGATCTCAAGCAAAGAACAGTTCCTACAGATTTATTTATCCCTGTTAACAAGGCAGCACATTAACAAAAGAGAGCAGATTCTTGTAATTCCATTCTAACCCATTTTACCATTATTAGCAGTATTTGTCCCTCCCACCCACAATCATACATATATTCACATATTCACCCCCTTAATACATGGAGCCCATGTACATTCAAAGATTAGCATTCAGTTATAACACTGCCATTTATTCTCCTTTTCAATAGGAGGCTGATTAATCGCAACTGTTTGGACTGTACTGGTAAAAATTTTTAAATTGATAAAGTAGTTTAAAAATGTACACCTTCTTAGTGAATTCCACTGAGGATCAGTAAAAAAAGACCCTAGGAATAAATGAGAATGTCTTCAGAACAAAGAGTGTAACTCTTCTGCACCTTTTCTGTAGTGCTTGGCACTGAAGTCTTTACCCAACACTCAGAGTTACCACAATACAAATAAGCCACAACTAGCTGGGAAAAGCAGTTATTTCCTTTGTGATAAAACATTAATTTTCTATTGGAGACACAAAATTAGTCTAGATAGCATACTTGTCTATTCCAATTCAAGGTAAGCAAACATGTAAACACTTCAAAACACAAGTTGCAGCATCTATTTTACATTTTTATTAGGCTTTTATTACCTTAACTTCATAGTATCGGGTGGTATATGTTAAATCAATAATTAATCCAAGCTCCACATTTAGGGCTTTCATTGCAGCAATTAAGTCTTTTGGTGTAAATTTCTGGGTTGGGGTGAGCCTCTGGTTAATTGCCTACAAAGAAAATGGAAAAGAAATATTTTCTTTTTACATTCTAAGAACAAGACATTTGTAATATTCAGCTGTTTTAATTTGTACTAGGAAACATCAGTATTTGAAAGGGACTGTTTAAATATCAGAACCAAATCCATGTATTATAGAGATAAAAGAGACCAATTAAAAAGAAAGCAAAGATTTTTTATGTATTTCTCTTCAGATGAATATGCAAGAAACTGTGAGCATTTCAATTTGTACGGTGTTAACAAACATTATTAAAATAAGCATTAATTTCATAGACACAAAAATTCTGCAAAATATATCATGTGTATACTGATTTTTATGTAACTAAACATCAGTAAAAAGCAAAACACCACAATCTACTTCTCCCCAAAAACTTTGTCCTGCACAGCAACTCAAAATTAAATGTATTTCACATAAAACATTAAAAGTTGTGATATAAGATCTCATTTCTAAAGGTTTTAACTATCTTCCCACAAATGTTGCACAGACATTTTTACCCCTGCTTCATCTCTTGACAGAGTGTACTTGCATGTCTTTTAGCACTGGGAAATATTAAATATGACTAAAATACTGTGACTAAGAAAGCTGCATGTTGGTGGATAATGAATAATTCATTTGATAGAAACAGTGAGAAAAATGTTTACTCACCCTATTGTAGCTGTGTTTTTTGAAATGTGTTCTTCACTTTAGGTGTGAAAATGCCTCATATACTCAAGACTGGATTTTCTGTGAACAGTGCACTTGTCCATTGTGAGAGCCTTTTGACATAGGCTCAGCCAGAACCAATAAAGACAGTGGCAAAAGATGCAGCAGCCTCAACCACCTGTCAGTTCCTTTGTCAACAAGAAATTCAAGCAGACTGGACTCAGAACTAATGGAAAGGAAGGCAGCCACAGACCACATACTTCTTAGAACCACAGATGCTACAGGGTAACTAACCAATTTTTGTTTTGACTGTACAGATTATAATCTAAAATGCTAGCAAGTACTTGTCTCAAGTCTGGAAACAGAGACAGGAAAACAAATTAAAGAAGAAACAGCAGGGCAGTCCTGTCAAAACTTGTATGTGGTTAGGAAGCTTAAGCTAAAAGGAGAAGGGTAGAAAGCATATAGTAAAGTATTTGGTCCTATGTATTTCAGACACCTATGCACTGCTGAAAAAACAGTGGAAGTTGTGGAAGTTTAAACAAAATGAACATGAGTCAGTTGTCTCATCACTATTCAGCAGTGACTTTTAGTAGAATGTGAAACTGAACTTAACAACCCTGAGGTGACAAAAGGTGAATCTGCAAAAGGTCTATAGTAGAACATTAAAGAATTTTTACTGTGTGAAGCCACACAAACTGAGGAGGAATGTAATTTACAAAAATAAGGTTCTCCAAACATATTGTTTGATTAAGTAAACAGTCAAATGTGTTATGAAATACTATGTTTTGAAAGGCTCTTTGGAATTTTTTGAAAAACTTCTGCTGAATATTCAGTAGTTGAGGTATTTAATTGGGCTTTGAGAATCGGAGAAATCTCTATCAATTCTAAAAATCCTTCTAATGGCACAGGAAAGAACCTGCCCTGTTCTTACTACACTACAATGTTACTGTTAGCATTATAAAGATGATCTGAAAGGAGGGATAGAAAATTCTTTCAGGTAAACACATGATCTTGAAGTCTTTACTAACAGCACATCTTCTGCTATGACAATAACCCTTGAGTCTTCAAATTCTGAAAATATGTTTTCTCCCTTTGGGTGAAATCACCAATCATCAATTTCCTAATCAGTAGCAAATAAGAAAATTGTTGCATATTTAAGAGGTCTGTACCACCAGCTTAATAAATAATAGGACTTCTGACAGACGATGACCCATCAGGTCTTCAGCATTTTCAGACAGATTTACTGACCACTACCCTCTGCAAAGACACCCCAGTTTAGCCAGCTACACATTTTATGCATGTTCTGCCACAAACTGCATGAGCTTCAAGCACACGGTCACTGGCAGACTTGTCATTTCTCTGTCTTGCATAGTTGAGACTGAACAAACTGAAGGGACAGAAATGTTAAGAGATTTTGCATTCTTGGGTATCAGACTTTATATCTGGCCAAGTTCAAAGACAGCTTCACAGAGCAGAGATCTATGTCTCATGAGATCAGTAGAACTGGAAGGGAGTAACACAGTGACATAAGTGCCTACTTGTGATATACTGCTATGAACACTGATAATGATTTTTTATGATCTCTGGTGTAGCTCCTTCCAGACTATCAGTGGAACTACAGGGAAAGAGTAAAGTGAGCAATAACATATCTTGCTTTGAAAGCTGGAGTGACAGGAACTGGAAATACATATGCACTGAACAAATCCTGCCTACAATAGTGAATCTGTGCAAAAATTGCATAGATCAAGTGCTGGATGAAGTGGAATTACAGGAGCTGATGATGCAAAAAATCCTCTCTCAAAAAACCCAACAGTAAAGAAGTCAATTATAAATCTCTGGATTTTATATTCACAATTCATGTGTTCACTGGAGGTCTTGGTAGAAAGACACACGACTACTGTAGAGTCCATCTGTATCGTGAAGAACAGGACCAATGTTAAGTATGAGATCTTTGGTGTCAAAGGAACCAAACTATGATACTAAAGCTGTAAAAGAAGCTGCAGGAAGCAAGTCCTGCAAGCATTCCACTTCAGTCATTGCTGACAAAAGTGAATTGAATGGTGACTGAAAATATAATGCGTATGAATATAGCCAAAGAACCAAAACTTTTTTGTGTGAATACTAGAGTGCAATCTGTAGACAACAGCTTAGACAGAATATTTACTCTTAACTGCTAAGGTTATGTCAAAGCACTGAGCTTTAAAAGCAGTTAGAAACTTTTACTTCCTCTGTATCTAAAGCAAGGACCTGTAAGAGTTAATTTATACAGCACTTGTGTTAATTTATACAGAAAAGCAAACAGGATAAATTTGCCCTATGCCTCCAAAGAGGCATGGGCACCAAAGTACTGAACAGTCAAAACAAGTCAGCCCCCACATTTTTTATAATCAGAGAGTTTAAAGACCTGACTCAGTGTGTTTAGTAGATTAAGATGGCACTTCATGTTAGTGAGACTCTAAAGGAAGTACTAACACATTAATAAAAGAAATCTGTGAAGACTTCTTTTTTAAATACACTACATTCCTCCAGATTGCTAGAGCTTTTTGCTTATGAAACTGGCAATCTGGATCTGTTATTTAGAAGCTCTCCAGTGGCTGGTATCCTTTAACAACTGCTTGATTTCCATAAAATTGTATTTTGGCTTACAATGCCTAGACTGTTATTCATATCATAGCCCCTTCCATGTAATTTCTTATAATAGTCATAAAAAGATGTTATATAAGACTATGAATTTAGGCCACTTATTAGTGATGAAATGAATGGTGCTGATTGATTGATTTGTTGATTTTTAAAAGATAAATAAAAAGATTAACACCAAGTATTAAAAAAAAAAATAGAAAAAAAATATTTTTAAGAAGCCACTAGTAGATTACTGAAAGGGCTAAATCTGAATAAATTATTTTTCAAAAATTTTCCTTCAAAGTTTGCATGAACATCCATGCTATTTTTCATTACTTCTGCAGTTTATCTAGTACAACCAATCTATAGTTAATTCTTACCCCTTTTAAAGGTACTTTGAATGCAATAAATCTCGTTCCTGGTATAGGTTGTCCAACTGGTGTCAAACTCCTCCATCTGTAATGAAACAAATATTTATTTCTAAATGTTTTCAAGTTGCATGATTCATCAGAAGACACCTGCAGCACAAAGCACATAAAAGTTGCTGTTATTATACATTATAATTAGGTCTCCAAATCTGCAATTATTCCATGAAGTGGTTTCAAGGTATCCCCAGGACATTTGAAAACAGTCTTTTTTTTCCTTCATCTTCAACTTCCAAAAAATTCCTAATGGCAGGATAGCATTTACAACAAGTAGCACTAATATAAAGCAAAGCAGATGTGTAAGGTTCAACAGGTAAAAAAGCAGTGTTATAGTTGATGGACATTTTTCAACTTTGTTGAATCAAACACCTTATAAAGTTATCATATGCATTCATCAGTCATTTGATTGACAAATGCAAAGTTTTCTTTCATATAAATTTATATTTTGCAAATGTGTTTTCTTTGTAATATGCTTATTTTTCAAAGAAACACTCTTAACTGCACTTTCTCTTGGCACTTTGAAAAATACAGAGAATATTCCATCACACCACAACTTACCAAAAATCACCTACTATTTGAAGGTTTGTTACAACACTCAAACCCACTACTAATTCCCAAACCACAAAGAATTGATATTCACAGGTTCTACACCGCACTGAAAAAGCTCTTGATATATCACATTTCAGAGATTTCCATTTTTTAAAAGAATATGAAAAGGATTACCTGAAGAGGAAAACAAGTTAATCAACAGATCAATTTTACCTTCAAAGAGGTTACTTACTAAATTTAGGACTTCTTATGTAAGGGCAAATTATAACCTCAGATGATACAGCTGAATGACCTAGAATCTAGACAGCCTTTCTGCATTTTCAGCTAGTACCTCAACTATTAAAATACAAAACATTTCCACTAGATTCTTTAACACTGGTGTTTGTTCACTTACAATTTTTGGAATTATTGTTTGAATTAATATCTCCCTTTAAAGGCAGCATAACAATTTCTATATTCCCTTCTGATTTCCATAAAACCACATCAGTTACTAAATAAACTGAATACTTCATTTTAAAATATTCTAACCACTGATTATTTTGCTTTGTACACAATTCCCATATCAGAACAAAAACTAGAAGTTGGTTGGCAAAATTCTCAATGAAATATCCATAATTATACTTGTCATATATGTAAATAATAACATCACGATTCACAGATACTTGGAACTAACAAAGGAAACCCACGGCATGGTGACCAGAAGCATAACTGATACTAATGAAGATTTTATGATTTACTACATCCATGTCTTTAGCACTAACTTATCTCTTTTATCTTCATCATGAGGTAAAGAACAGATCAGGGCTCACAGTGTAGCATACAGATGCTTAGTTTAATAGAAAACAAATGAAATAACAAAGGAATAATAATAACTCATTGTTGGGAAGGCTGTTGCAAAGAGCTGTTGTGTAGAAGGCAGATACAAGGTAAGAAGGTGTAAAGGTGAGCTAGAGATGAAATCACTGAGAGGTATTTGCAGTAAAACCTTTTACTAAATTCTAAATGTTTGCAGGAAGTTTGTATCTCATAATTGCAACTAGGGAACAAAACCAGTCCCCTACAAATAACATACTGTGTATTATAGAAGTGTTCCGACTTGACAAGTCTTCCTAAGAGAATTTTCAAGACTCTAAACTTTGGAGTCTGGTAGCTCCAAAGTACACTTTGGAGTAAACTTGCTGTAAAACATGTACACTTGCTGTAAAACATGAAAACAAAAATCTGAGACTACGTTCCATTTATTCCTGTTTATGATATATAAATTGTGTATGAATCAATTAAGACCAGAAATTCAGCGCTGTTTTAACCTGCTTTCTCATGGAAAAGTATGAATGGAAATCAACCGGAATTATCATAAATAGGAGCACTTAGAATTGAATAAGAGATGATCAAAAAAGGGCTTTAAAATCTTATTTTCCTTAATTAGCAATTGTAAAAATTCTGAACTTTTTTCATATTAGGGGACTGACAGAACAATGCCCCAGGATTACAGAGTTTGTTGTCAGACCTTAATAAACTTGGGGGTTTATTCACTTGTATTTAAAGCCACTTAAATCCTACCAGAAAAAAATCTGCAAAATCAGCAAGAAACTGAAAAGCTGCTGACAGCTCTCTGGTAGGAAATGAACAGAAGGCATTCTTCATCAAAAATATAAAGGGTATGTGTTCCATGTTATCTTCAAAAATATTTAAAAAGGAAATTTTGGCATATTGCTGCAGAACTGAAAATTACCTCAAAAAACCCCCAGCAGATTGAAATTAAGCAGAGATTAGCTAAGGAAATAAATTCAAGTTTGTTCTGTTGTCAACAAAGAAACAGGTGACCCAGACTAAAGAAAGTAAAACTCTTACAGAATAAGTCTGGATAAAAAGGCAGAAATTATCAGAGACAAGCAGCAGGTAGTCACATAAACAGGATGTACAAGAGCAAAGACATAACTGAACATTTTAATGAGTACGAATGAGAATTTTAACACATAGTTTGTGCCCTGCTTGAATACAGGTGGAAAGAAGAAAGGCAGGAGTCAAAGGTGTTATCTCAAGACTTGGCACCATCATCCTTCCCATACCAGTGACTGAGAGCTGACAGAGACCTGAATGAAAAACAATCTGGACATGAAGTAGCTGATTGAGTATGGATTGCATACAGTTGCACATTTTATGTGCTTTGGAACACACCGTTTTTTCGTATTTTAGTTTAACATTACTGTTAAGGTCATGCAGAAGCTTTAATTTCCAGTATAATTTGCTATGTTTTAGAACTGATTCATAGTAAGATTTATTTTAACAACTACTGATGATGCTCTTATCGAATTAATAAACTTTTCAAAGAGATTTCAAAATTGTGTTGAATAATTACGTATTTTACTGATATTCATAATGGATCATTGAAATGGATACCTTGCCATTTATTTTCGAGTGATTTTTTAAGAAATACAGTATGTTCCCCATAAAGATACTATGTATATTTTTAATGGCAAGCTAGATAAGAAAGCCCTAAAATAATTCATAGCTACAATGTAATGGAACCACTGAATTGAAAATAATTTTAAAGTTTCAAGTTTTTAGTTTGTCAGATCTCAGTGATGCAGTCACATAAAAATATAAAGCACAGGAAACTGTCAACAGATACCCTACAAGTTCTTCACAGCAAACAGCTGAATCTCATTGGTCTTTCTAAAGCCAATAATGTGTTCCACTCTTGCAGAGTAAGAGAAACTAGTACTGAATTTAAGGCATCCATTCAGAATGATTTTCATCTAATAGTTAATCAGCATTAGTAAACCAGTGTAAACAGGTATACAGTACTCAAAAGCTACACTGGGTGGAGAACTATGTTCAGAGAGCACTGTCTGAAGCTATGCTTAACAATTCAAGGGTTTCGACAATTCTTGAGCCTCTCATGAGCATCTCTCATTGAGAAGCAGTTATAAGTTTAGAACTTACCTGGGAAACTGAATTCCCAAACACTCAAAAGGGATAATTATTCTAACTGTAGAGAAATTCAAGTCTGAAATACTGTCATCTGTAGCAAGATCATTTAGAAACCACTACTTGGAACCTCTTTTTTTTTGGCTACTGACACTGATGATATACACACAGCCTTATTTGTCAAGTGGCTTCCATACCTTCATAGATACCAGATTCAATACTGATGGTATGAAGCACTTTTACAAATAAACTCTCACATTATGGTAACCCTTCTCTCTCACCCGCCGTGGAACATGCACAACCCTTTACACCACAGTCTAAATGAAAAATGCTGATGTTTTAAGTCTGCACAGGAGAACTTCAGTTAAGAAGTCTGTTTATGGTGCTTAGGCAAAAATAGTTCAGCTTTGTCCTTGTAACAAAAAGATCCCATTCAGTATTTTTTTATACCATTCAAGGGTAACATGCCAGAAGGTGACAATTCTGCAGATGCTTTTCAGAACTGAATCTGATTTTATGTAATTATACCCACAGCAGGATTTTGGATGCTGAAGTGTATAAATATGTAAAAATATCACAATATTTTTAACTGTTTGTTATGCAGCTTGGACTCTTTTTACTGTCTAGTTCTCCACGGAAACATCATAGTGTACAACCACTGAAGAATGACACCATTTCAGACACTGTGAAGAACCAGAACTTGACTCCACCGTGGAAACGCCAGAGCAAGGGGTCATTTGGATCCCTCTTTTATACTGATGTCTCACTTTGCTAAAAATTAGTTCACCAGCACTACTTTCTAGGTTTGAGACTGCAATAGACACTGTACACCACAGCTCTGCTCCAAGACATTACTGGGAAAAGAAAGAAACACTTTCCATTATCACAGAACCACCGAATGGTTTGGGTTGGAAGGGACCTTAAAGATCATCTCATTCCAGCCCTCCTGCTGTGGGCAGGGACACCTTCCACTAAACCAAGTTGCTCAGAGCCCAATCCATAGTTGCACTATTCTTACCTACTAACTTAACTGAAACCTCAAAATTATTGTAATCCTTTAATTAGCATAATGAAACTTGGATTAAAAGTGTTAAGAATTGAGGTAGTAACAGAAAGATAATCTTAAAAAATGGCTACATGTAGTGTCACTATCTATTCCACTGTTTCTCTTGCAGTAGCATTAAATCAGAACTGTCACTGTTAGATCTATTGCTGTTATAACAAGATGGTATGACTGAGGCTGTGGTTCCACAGTCTGAACTGTCTGGACTTGTCCTTAGGCTACAGTGTACCACAATCTCATTTCTGCCAACAACTATTTCTGGGGCCAGTAAATTGCATGTGCAGGATCACCTTAGTTCCTTCCAGGGTTCACTACTATGGTTTCCTGGTTTACTAAATTCACAGAGAACAACAACATGTTGTGCTAGCACAAGGATGGCATCAATATCCTGCTGCATGAGACGGGGGGGCTGACAATTCCTTAAACTTCTTTATTGCTAAACCCCCAATACTGTGGATGTCCAGCCTGATTTCTTAGTAGCATAAAAAGGTAAGTATCTGGAGAAGCTGAAAGCACTTCAGTATCAGGCACTTTGTCAGATGGTAATACTAACTTTATAACCAAATACTTGACAGTAGCTGTTTCTCTCCTTGAAAGTGTTAGTTTCCAGCCACAGAAGTTGAAAAAACAGTCCTCTGCTTCTTCCATACTTAAGAAATCCATGCAGCCTGAAAGTCGCTCCAGTTCAGATGTAAGGGGAGATAAGAAGGGAGAAACGAGCACCTGATTCTCAAAGTTTTAGTAATAATTTCCATGTATGGAGAAAACAAGGACAGTTAATTCTTTCTGGATTTCTGCACCACTGCTTGCAAAACTAACCCACTTTACTCAACTTTGTCAAAAATTTAACTGAAATTTCATAGAAACTTTCAGAGAAAGACATTCTTAAATAGCTTTTCTTACATGTTATTCTAATTTTAATCCCTGAGTTTGTCATCTAGAAAAAAACTTTAAATTTTTGAAGTTATTTTTTAAGTTTTGTTCATCTCTTGTTTCTACTTATTGCTTTTAGGACAACCCATATTACAGGAACTCATGCTTTTTCTATCTTATTGCTCCTCCTAAGAATGTTCTTAATAAACCTATTTAACACTTACCCAGAAACCAGGATAATGTCAATCTTTCCTCAAGTAACATATAAACTGCAAGTTATTGTCCCATTACTGTGTACCTTTATACCTCAGCATGCTCTCCTATCCAGAAGGTTTGTACTGATGTCAGCAGTAACACATGGGTTAAAATTCTAAACTTGGACTTCCTCTTTGTTTGTTTATTTGATTAGAGCTGAAGAATAGAACTGTATCTGTTTTAAATGAGGTCATTCTGTGGTCCCCATATGCACTCCCAATCAAGTGATCAGAAAGCCTGCATAGTGCATTTGGAGTTTTTTAATGATTATTTCTGCTGATACAACACTTTTGTTGTCCTCTTTTTAAAAAGAAAAATGCAGGATGTTTCTGGACCTGAATTCATGAACATATTCCTTGATCTTATGCATGCAATCACCTGCTCCCATCTTCTCTTCCTCCACACCTGGCAGCAAATGTCCAAGTAGTCAGAAGTATGGACTACTCTCCCACTTCCCCAGTAAATAAACACTTGGGGTAAGAAGATTAGGAAGAAGGGACTGTGTTTGGCCGACGAAGAAGTGTTCACAGACAGGCTGGAGCATTATACTCACCTGGGGGATGAATGGCTGGGCTGTTCCTGTCTTGGAGAAGATACCTACCTTACCTGGCTGTAGGTGGTGAGGTTGCTTGAGGCAAGAAAGCGCCTGGGGCAATCAGTGCCCCTTCTCTGCGGGCAGAGCTGTGCCCGCTCCTGCCTCTTGCTTAGTGTGAAGGATACTTACCCGTCAGGGATAGTATTCTTCTTTACCATGCTGAAAGCAGGAGCAGGCAGAGCAGGAGGCAGCGGTGAAAGTGGGCACTGCAGCAAAGGAGAGAGAACCGCGCAGTTAACACGGTGCTAATCTCTTTCTCCATCAGTGGGCCTTTTCACAGGGCTGAGATTCGAGTACAATAAACCCAGCAGTCAGTTGGGGCTTGAAGCCATTCTGAACAAGTTCTGCACCTTGCAGGCTAGGCTATTTCTCCACTGCTAAAGTACGACAAGAGCGAAGGACAACTCACCTCTCCTCTCCAGGAGATCACAAGAAAGAGAGGAGAGGCGGCAGGTTTCTAACTCTGGCAGCAGCGCTGCAGGGACGAAGATCCTCCTGGCAGCCCCTACCGTCCCGCTCCGGCGGCTGGAGCGGTCTGTCCCGCCCCTGCGCTCCCAGTTAGAACTCGTCTCAACGAGAAGAACCTCCAGGCAGCTGCAAGAGGCGAGGCCGGCACCTCAGCGAGGGAAGGACCGTGCCCTGCCCCACCCTGACCTGGACGGGTCCGGTTCCGCGGGATCCCGGGCACCGCCAGCGCCCGCCGCCCTCGGGGGGGCCGGGGCGGAGAGCGCGGGGCGAGGGGCGCTGCCCCATCTCCGCCGCTCCAGAGACAGGCTACGGGCGGCGTGAGGCTGTCCCTCACCGCCGCATGTCCCCGGGACAGCGCCGGGTCCGGCCCGGGGCTCGGCAGCGGCTGAGCTCGGGGCAGGGACAAACAGAGACACCGGGGTGGGGAGAGGTCGCGGCCCGGCTGCGGGGGGCGGGCGGGCGGCTGTGGAGGGAGGCGGGCAGGCTGTGAGGGGAAGGGCGCGGGCTGCAGCCGGTGGCGGGGCGGGGCGGGGAGGAGCGGGGCTGCGGGCGGCCCGTACCCGGACAGGATCCCCCGGGCGGAGCCGGCGCGGGCCGGAGACACACAGAACCTTCCCGAAACGGCCGCGATTGCGCCTGCGCGGGGGCGGCAGCGGGCGGGACGGGGCGCGCGGGGCGGGGCGGGGCGCGCGGGGAGCCAATGGGGTGCCGGCCAATGGGGCGAGGGGCGGGAGTGTCCCCGCGCGTGCGCAGCTGCCCCGCGGGCGGAGGGCGGGCGGGGCGAAGGGGCGGTGGGAGGTGCTGTGGGAGGTGCTGTGGGAGGTGCTGTGGGAGGTGCTGTGGGGGCGGGTGTGTGCGGGTGTGTGCGCTCTGGGTTTTCCCGGGAGTTCGCGGTTCTCGCTGAGTCCAGGTGTCCGCTGTGGGTTTCAGGGACGTGTTCGGCTCTTTCTCACTGTGTTTTCTTTGGGTTTTGTTGGGGGTTTTTTGTTTTTGTGGTTTTTTTTGTTTGGTTTTTTTTTTTGGCTCGGCCCGCCCGCGGTTCGCGCTCCCGCGCTGTGCCCGCAGCTCGGGGGGCGTGAGGGGACAGGACGTGCCCTTCCTCCTCTTGTTAGAATGGAAGGTGGGGTAATGGGCGAGCCACTGCCAGGTCACTTATTTCAGCGTGCGCTCTGTGGGGATAGTGGTAATTTCCACTTTCAGGCCGGCGTTTATACAATTTCTGAAACTCCTCCAGCACAGGATTGTAAACCACATGCTGGAACACAGAATAACTGGAAATTAATAAGTTTGATTTATGCCTTGTTCTTTCAGTATTGGTAGAGAGGAGCGATACAATTTACCTTCTTGTCCATTTTTTGGTCATTGAAAAATACTTAAGTAGCTGACAATGTACAGATGCTGCGAAATGGTAACAGCCTTTTTGTGGTTCCTGTTCCCTAGTTTATATGAGAGAGAAGTGTTACATGTCAGAGTAGAAGTTGTTTACCGCATAATTGATAAATTGGCTTATTAATTACAGAGCTGCAACATTGTCTGAAAATACTGTTAAGGTATTGGAGAAACAGAGTAATTTCATGTCTGTCAACACAGTATACTTTTAACATTTTTAGGACTATTACAGATTTCAACAGTTTTGTGTTTTGACTTGGTTTTGTTTTCTTCCTTTTTTCTTTTTTAAATTACTGTACTGGAGAACCCCCCCCAACTGTTAACTCCTGGGTATACATTAGTGTCTTACTGCTATTTCCTCTCTTTTAGTGCACAATTTAAAGCAGTGTTTATGTAGTATTTTGCTTACTCTGCTGAATTGAAGGGGCTCTGAAGCAGTGCTCTTTTTTCCAGTATATGCGTTACAACTTGTTAATGCACACTTCAAACAAATGGGTCCTGATCAGAAGGTCTCTAGTTAATGCTTTAGAGCTGAGAGTTCAGGTTAGAAAGAGGGTAGTAATCTTTGGGATATGCATAAGAGTAGAAATATCTTCATGTTCTTTAAAACAAAAAAACACCACCTCTCAGCTCCCCCAAAACTCAATGCGAAGCTGAAATATTGTGGCATAGTTCCATGTAGAATTGTAAGTATGAACTAAATCCATTTTTTGTGTGCAGGAAAACTGATCATGCCTTCAGTGAGGCATTATTGGCTTAACCAAGCAACTCTGCACACAGTAAGTTTTCTGTGAGAACAGTCATGTTCACTCTCTTTGCTGAAGTGCAGTCTGAACGTTCCTCTGCAGTTTATTTTAGAATGGGCCAGGCATTCCGTGGTGTTTCATCCCTTGGCTTTCTGCACTGCTGTTCTGTGATATTGCAGCATTTGGCCCACAGGGACCTGAAGCCTTCAGTACAGAGTGGAGTGGGCCATGGGCTGCCCTCTCTGCCCTACAGCAAAGTGCGACGTCAGAAGGTGGATTGAACTGCGCTCATGAAGATGTTTGTGTTGTAGCTGCACTGTAAAAAAGAAAAAAAAAAAGTACTAAAGAGATTAATGAATTTATATCTTAACAGTAAACCAGTATTTTTTTAGCAAACTAAATTGTCATTGTATCTTTGAATTGTTTGGATAGTTGTTGGTTTCTGTAAAGCATTTGTTTCTTAGAGGTAACTATGACGAGTTTTGTTTCTATTTTGGAGTATAAAACTTACAGTTTGGGAATAGTAAAATGCAAGTTATATATCTTGGGTTTTCTTCAGACTTATGAGTGTTGTGAAAGCTACTCATGTTTTAGCCAGGAGCATAACACAACCATCAGTGTTTCATAGCAGTGTTTTCAAGAGTTTATGCAAGGAAAGTGCTATGCTGTCTTTCTGACTTCCAGAAACGGACAAAAAATATTTCCATGTCTTCAAGATGGAAAGCATAAAACCTGTAGTCCTAAAGTATTTCAATCTGAGGGAAAGCCAAAGACCACAAGAATCTTGTCAAATCATAATGTGACCTTTTTAAGAAAGGCCCATAAATTCTTGAAATTCTTATAATACTTAATCTTTGAAGAATAGTTGAATTTGACTTTCTTACACTTAACTTTCTGAAATCTAATACTTTAAATGGTAACTCGTATCAGTTGTTGAGTGTCCTTTCTCTTTTGCTAGAAAACCTGCTTGTCAGTAAGGCCCTTCTGAGCAAGGTGTGACATAGTGAATGCAGTCACTTCATTGCTTGGAAGTTACAAAGCCAAGATCAGAGCAAAGTATTTTAGAACCTACAGTAAGATTTAAGTAAAATAATCTTCATAGCCCTAGAAAGAGAAGGTCGATATATATATATCATATATGTTTGGTATATAATTTTTAACAAAGAAAATGCCTGGTTTTGTCTTTATCTCTTCTGAATATTTTGTGTAGAACAATTCCAGAGCTTGCCACGTCAAGGTAGAGAGAATACATCAGGCAATCAGGTAATTAGCAGCCATTTATCCAGGTAGTGCAAACAAGGAAAGCAGGCAATAACCAGAACTCCTCAGCTCCACGGGTAAAGTAGGATGTCACAACACTGACAGATTTCAGGGTCTTCTGAGCTTCTTGTGCATTATAGCAACTTTTAACAGTTTTGATTACTGCCTGAACCTGGAGTAATGTTTGCAAAATTCTGTTGTGTTGAATTATTTTGGTGTTGTTTCGTAGATGCCTGCAGTGAGGACAAGGGAAGAGCATGTTACTTTTCAGCATGAGTCCCTTATATCTCAGGGTGATCAATTGAATTGATTTATATGCATATTCAAAGTTAGAATACAAACAAGCTTCCTGCTCTCTTTACATCTCTCTGGAGAATCAACTTCCTCCTCTTTGTTTAAACTCATATTTAATAGTTTACATATTTTACTTGGAGTTTTAAATTAAGTTTCTTGGATCTGATTTCTCTTTCTCTACAAGAGAAAGCCAAGTCATTTTGGATGTGGTTCTTATTTCAGTGGGCTTAAGAAGACAGAAACATGATTTGAATACTACATAGTTTATTACAGTTCTCAAATCCCTCTATAAGGAACTTTTCCAGCCTTCCAATGATTATTTTGCAGCTTTTTACTGTATTGTTTCATGTTTTGCTCTGCCTGTTTTAAAATGGGGACTGCTCAGTTGTGTCAGTGTTGTCTATGTCTGTACTATATAGGTGTTCAATTTCTCTGTACTCTTACATTGTTGCTGTTTCTGTAACTAAAGATTATATGTTTGCAAGGAATTTTATCTGCAGTTTGATGGGGGTTTTTTGCTAACTTATAGGTAATTTTTTACAATTACTGCTTTTTCACGGTACCTTCTGTGTGTGTCATGTACAATTCCTTTCATACTGCAGCTTTGTTATTAAAAAGTGTCTTGTATGAGCATACATGGCTTGAAGAATATGCACTGTTTTTGTTCTATCAGAAATGACTGTTCTTCATCAGTTTTGTTCTGTGATCTGGAGTTTATACTTGCTTTATTTTATGGGCAAAAAGGAAAAGGTGCTGGTCTGTGCACTAAACCTTGTCATCTGTAGGTCACAAGGGACTCTCTAGGTTCAAGTCAAGTTCTTGTTATCGCTCAACCCTATTTAGATTCAGTTTTCTGGTGGTAGCAGTATATGTACATTGGAATTATGGCACATTCCCAAAGCTTGTGCTTTTCTTGGCTGTCACTTGAGTGTAGTGTCAGATACAATAGCAGCATGGATTAAATAGAGTAACTCCCTCACAGCTAAAGCTAATGCCAAATTCCTTTCTAACTAGATATTTTGAAATAGACCAGCTTCCTCAGTCAAGGATGTGCGAGTAATGTGGATTTAAAAAACAACTAATCATCTTGCTTGCTTAAGCCAATTTATTTTTGTTCTTAAAGATTTTGAAATTTATTATTCCCAGGTACTCCTGCACACTACCCTCAGTTGTCAGTGGGTGACAGCCAGGGTGGTTGTCAGAACTAGAAACATGTTCTGAAAATTTAAACCATGATTTACAGTGAAACAGCTGTTATAGTGTTGGTCATCACAATTTGCTTATTAATATGTTTTGACATCTACTTGATACAGTATCATTTAACATGGCTCATGAAGCAAGTACATTAAATATTTTAAGAATATATTTTTGACTTTGTTTTTCTTTGCTCTGCTGTATCTTATTTCCTCAAAGGCTTTCTTCAGTCTTGTCTTTGAGTAGGTGCTTTGGTGCAGCAGTTTGGGGTGCCTCATTTATGAAACTTAGAAATCTGCTTTCCATAGACTGTTTCTGATGCATTTCATATTGGATTCGTCCTCTTGGTTTTCTGTACAAACTGATAGCTAATACCTGCTCATCTTTGCATATTTCTTTAAGAATAACTTTCTTTTTTTTCATCTCCTGTGTAAATACTAAACATCAGCACTTACATTTTTAATTGAATCATTCCTTGAGGTTATAGACTCTATTCTTTTTAATATGAGTCTTTGGGATGTCAGTAAAAATTGAAAAGGACAAAAGACAAAATTCTGTTAATAGCAATGCTGATATAAGTCTGTAATACCTCTTGGTTTGTTTTTGAATGTGTGGATTTGCATCACCATAGCTGAGAGCAGAGTCCCTTTTGAAAAGAGAACACTTGCATCCAGTGATTTGGCTTGGATTTTTTTCAAATAAGTATTTGTACATTTTTGAGGAATGCTTGTCTGC